CTTGTGTCATCATCACCGTAGAAGGACGTCGGGATGCAGTACTTTTCCACAGTCATCCTGTTCTCCGGATCGTACTCGGCCCACCTCGTTGTCACCACTTCCGGCATTTCGTTCTCTACGTTGGCGAGAGTGACCTTGATTCGCTTCGAGGTTGCGGCCGATAGAAAGTCTTGCGCCTTCTCTTTGACGTATGCAACCTCAACGACGGCTGGCCGAACAAACACAACTTGGTCGAGGCTGCGGCAATTAAAGATGTCTCTCCACAACAAGAATGTGTCGACGTGAGCACCGAAAAGCACCACGCGCCTGAGGCTTTTCAAGATCGTCCAGTTTGTGATGAGATACGGATAATTGCGCAGAACGACCAGCTCCTCCAGCTTGGCGAGTCTGTGGAGTCCGTCCGCCAACGTTGGTATCACGTTGAGATGGTCGTCCCATGGGGGCAAGGTGTTCATGGGCCAGTCTATTACAAGCCGTCGAAGGCTGCCGCATACTTCGCAGAGTAGCTCTCTAATCCAGAGTGCCATGGGCTGATCATCTAGGTGCTTGCCAAAAGGGCTGAGGTAAAGCGAAGTGATGCATTTCAGGGGAAGTACGAAAGGGAGAGTCGAAAGTCGCGGCGCTGACATGGTCAAGAGCACCAAGCTGAGACGCCAGCTAGAGTCGAGGTGCATGCATCGTTCGCGGAGTAGCCGGGTAGCCAGCTCGTGGGTTGATCGGGAGACGAGAGTGAAAGATATGAGTGTCTTTGTCGCGCTGGACGAGGCTGGGAGAATCGCTCTCCCATTTGGGAGGAGGCCCTCGATGACGTGTAAGATAAGCTCGGGCGGCAAGCGCTGGACCTCAGAAGCAACCGGTGGCATCCTGAGGTAAGCCTCATTCAAAGAGGGTTTGATGAAAATTGGTCTCTGACAGATCTCCTGCGCAATTTCGAAGTTGGATGGGTTAGATGAGATGAGAGATATGCCAACGGGAAGGAAACGACGGCGGTGCCAATCCTCTCGGCCGGTGAGGGGTTCGGCAGCCCCACTATTTCCCGCCACGGCCAATCCAATTCCGTCCCGTCTCACCGATCACCGATCACGCCTACTGCATCATTCTTCTCAAACAACAAGGGAATCTTCGGCATTCGTTACTTCTATCAAATTTTGGTAAACCCATATGAACATGAGGTTTTGATCTCATTATCCCGCGTCCTCTGACGCTGAATCTCCGCCTTGCACCGTTCCATCATCAACCCTCCAGCGCTATGACAGGGGCTTCTCCGCGACGATCCCAGCCTGCTTCGGCTGCCACAAGAACCCAGTAGCACTCGGCGACGTGCCCGTGTGCTCCTCCGACGAGATGCCGCCGTCGGGCACGTGTCTCGGCACGGCATCCTCCGCCGCACCCTGCCACAGCGACGCGCTCCGACCTCTCACACCGGGCTCGGTGGCGGTGAACTCGGGGCTTGAAGACTGCGAAGACGCCGCGGCACCAGCACCAGGAGAATCCACCAACGCCGGCGGTGCGCTCGGCTCCCTCGCAAACCCCGTCTCCGCGTCGTTACCGAGGCTCACGACCATCCTGCCCCCGCGGATCTCGCCGCGCCGCATCCGGTCCAGGCCGCGGTTGATCCCCTCGAACCCGCTCTCGACGCCGAGCACCTCGGGCGCGCTGACCAGCCCGGCCGCGAGAAGCCGCTCCAGCCAGAGGACCAGCGCCTCGCCCACGGCCGGGACTTCGTGGAAGACTTTGATGGGTACGGTGTGGTACGTCACGCCCTCCGGCGCGGCCTCTTTCGGCAGCCCCGTGAGCCCGATCAGGTGCTTCAGCGACGGGTCCGCGTTGCGCGGGGTATCCGGCGGACTAGGCGGCCGGGACGGGTCTTGAGGGGCAAGCGCGCGCAGGAGCGAGGTCGCGGAGTCGCGGCCGGAGGTGTCGAGGGCGAAGCGCAGCGTCTTGCCGACGTTGGCGCGGATGATGTCGACGGCGCGCGAGGGGTCGTGGCTGTCGACGAGGAGGTCTGGGCGGAGGACGGTGTGGTTGGACAGGCGCAGGCCGTGGCGCAGCTTGTCCACGACGGTGACGACTTTGAGTCCCGCCAGCCGCGCGAGCTGCACGGCGAGGTTGGCCGACGTCGAAGACCCGCCCCAGATGGCGACCCAGTCGCCTGCGACAGCGCGCTCCCCGTCCCGGATGCCGGAGAGGCACTCTGCGCGGATGTCGGCGGGGAGGGCGTCCGGCGGGATGGAGCGGACGAGGGAGAGCAGGTCGGGGCCGTCGAGGACGGAGGAGAAGTCGACGCCCATGCAGACGCCGAGGGACAGGACGGCGGCGACGAAGGCGACGCCGAGGGTGGCGCCGGCGGCGGGGGACACGACGGCGGGCGGGGGCAGGCGGACGGCGTTGAAGTCTGCGGTGGCGACGTACTGCTGGTAGGCGGCCTTGCGGAGGTCGCGGTAGTCTGTGGAGATGACGAGGACGCGGTCGCCGGGCTGGAGGCGGGAGGTCGAGGAGGGGTGGCGGCGGACCACGCGGCCGACGAGCTCGCGGCCGGAGATGTAGGGGAGAGAGGGGATTGCGAAGTTGAAGTCTCTGTTGTTGGTGTTGGTCAGTGTTTGTTGCGGGTGCATGGGGATCGCTGGAGGAGGACTCACGGTGCCTTCCAGTCGATTGGGTTCAGGCCAATGTGCTCCGTCTGTACCAACACTTCCCTCTCATCTTGGAGCTGGGGTACTGCGTAGCCCTCTGCCGTCTCGTATGGCTGCTTTGAAGCATAGAGGATGAGGACGGTCTGCGTATCCGGGATGTCTGCCATGGCGTCGTCTTGTTCAGGGTATCATTGGTCGAGAAGGGGGGATCGGGGGGTTAGTTGAGTTGGTCCAGCTATGGGATGAAGAAATCTCCTGTATGCAGTCCGAGTGTGCGCCGTGGGCAACAGTTCGTTTCCGGACGGTATTATCTGCAGTGTAGGTATTGATGTTGCAGGAAATGGGAGGAAGAGTTCAAGCCTGATCTCAGGGGGTTTGTGAAATACCAACACAACCGTAGCCGGCAACGTTTTCTTCGGCAACAGATAAGAGCCCCCCTCTTGGCCATCATTTTTTTCTATTACTCGAGGCCCCCTTCTGCCCGACGTTCGGAGTGATCGTCCTTGGAGGGGGATTTGGGTGCGTTCGTGGAGTCGGGGGTATTACGTGCTCTCGCAGTCCCGCATTGCGTGATTCTTCTCCAAGATGGCTGCATCGCCATTCTACCACCCCTCGTTGGCCCCAAGGTTTCCCGGCGATAACGACCATTAGCGCTACAGAATTGGACTAAATCATTCGAAAACCTCCACTCGAAACTCTATGAGGGCGGTTAAATTAAGAGCGGGATTATCAGCTGGTCGCGCATTCCTTTTACACCGCAGATATTGCGGGATGGTCTCGATTGCGTGCCGGGAGACGGTGAAGAACACCCTCGGACGGGAATATTCTCGGCAACCCCAAGCGCGGCAGCCCCCTTTGCGACTCCCGGACCTGCACTACCCGCCGAGACAATCTTCGCGGGGTGTTTCCCATTGATACCGATGCAAAGATTCAAAGACGGTGGTTGCACAGCCATGCGCCCTCCCACCCCCGGCCCGGCCGCTCCACTCCGCGCCTGTCACGACATGTCGCAGGATTTGTGCCAATCGAGATAGCGGTGCCGCGCCGATATAGACATCGCTAATTAATGCAAGGTGCGGCTGCGCTTCCGGTTGTTTGAGGGCCGTGAGACGGGCCGATCACGCAAGATGAGATTTTGTTCTGTTAAGATGCATCTCGTGGTGAGGGTTTGGATGGCATTTTGTAGGAGGAGATGACGTCGAATTCGTGAGACCTGCCCCCCGCTCAGGGACGCCGATGGAGCCGAGATGGAGCAAACCCCGGATTTTGCTGGATCTTCGGATGCGGGGATTATTCGTGAATATGAGAAGTCCTCCGCTCAATCTTGTGATTTGTTTCCGGGACTTTTTCTTGAAGCAGCAAATCATCGCAGAGGGTGTTTTGTGATGAGTTCACCAAACAACACTAGCAATCCCCCTCCCACCCCGCGTCAGACTAAGTTAATCCGTAGGTCATCAATTCTCTTGGCCGTCGGGTGATGATTTATTATTAATGGCTCAACGAAGCTCTACGATGAGCTGGTCTGGGATCGTAGCCCCAGCGTTTTGGTGGGCTTCATACAGTTCCCAGCCGAGGCTCAATATAGCTACTCCGATGCAATCTAATGACTCCCGAGATATCTTTCGTTACAAAGAGACCTTCCGCGCGGATCGGTCGTTTTTGGAATCATATCAAACTCAGTATTCTTATGAAAACCATCTCATTCTTCTATTTTCAAAGACACCTCACTGCCCCGGCGGACGGGAACAAGCCGGATAATATTGGCGATTGGAACGACAGGAATAAAGACGACGACGAGAACGACGAGGATGGCGAGAAGGAAAGCAATAAAAATAATAAGCACGAAGAGAAAAACAAGAGGGAACAGATCGATGAAGAGAATGAGATTGACGAAGGCGATGAGGACAGTCATATCATCTCTTCCAGACTTTCACAGCCTGTGCTTCTCTTAAGTGACAATGGAATCTTATGACCAACCAATGAGGCTAAGGGATGCACTCACACCAACCCTCCCCACCCGACCTTATCTTCACTCAACTCAAAGACAGAGACATTTCTTTTCAACGTTTTTTTCAAAATCGTCCATGATGCCCCGGCAGCAATTCTGTCACATTTAAGTTGATTCCTTGTTCGCTGGACTTGCTTATGTAAGATAGTTACACCCACCCGAGGATGGTCCCTGGATCCTTGAAGTTATTCTGACTCCTAAGCTTCCAACTTTGCCAACTTTTTCGAGTCAATGCCTAAGGCCCTGTACTGGATACCGCAAACCTCCCCCAAAATTTCAAGACAATATGACGTACGAACTCTTCATGCAGGGAAATCTTCACCACATCGATCCCGACTGAATGCTTTCTTTTGTACACGATGAGCAGCGACGTCTTGGTAATACAAGACCTACCTCAGCCAGACGCAGAAAGCGGCCCGCACGCGCACTCAATTACAGCAGTCACTTCACCCGACGATGAAGTGCAAGTCGACCCCGATGGCGACCTTATCCTCCGCGCAGGCGCGCAGACCGGCCTGGCGGAGCGCTCGTTCCGCGTATGCGCCAGCGCGCTGAGGAGGTCCAGCCCCGTGTGGAAGAAGATGCTCTTTGGGCCGTTCAAGGAGTCGAAGCCGGCGTTCGGGGTGTGGCAGGTCAGTCTGCCGGAGGACAACCCCGTCGCGCTGGGAATCCTGTTGCACATCGTGCACGCGAACTTTCCGCTTGTGCCGCACAAGCCGAGCTTGGAGGAGTTGTATGATGTGTTCCGGCTCGCGAACAAGTACGACATGATTACGACGTTGAAACCGTGGGCGGCGGCGTGGCTGGAGGTCGCGGAGAGCTTTGCGGGGACGACGGATGGGAGGGACATGGCTGCGTTGGCGTATATTGCTTGGGAGCTGGGGCAAGTGGACTTGCAGCGGAAGATGATGAAGGAGTTGGTGATGAACTGTGCGCTTGATGGAGAGGGGCGAATGATTACCCATGACGGAGTTGTGTTGGATGAATTTGACCCCATTGGGCCGCCAGGGCTGCTCGGTAAGTTTGTAAATGGCGGGGATACTGAGATGAAATTCTTAATGTCTTGCAGGATACATGCGAAAACACCAGCAGGAAATATCCAAGGCTCTGCCGCTACACCTCAACTCTGTGCTTAGGGAGCTGGCACACGGCCCCGGGTGCTGCGTCTCGAAAACAACCGACTTGGACGCAAAGTCGAACTGCAACGACGTTATCCTTGGCAGCTTACTGAGGGCGATGGCGAATGCAAGGGGTTCGGTCACCTTGACCCTTACAGTCGACGAAGGTGAAAGCGCTGCCAAGTTGTCGACTTCGATTAAAGGTATTGCTGAGAAGACGTCGGTGTTGGATGGGCACCTGAAGTGCAATCCCGGGGGCAGAATAATAGCGGCGCTTGCTAAGACGACCAAGGCGAAGCCAATCAAGTTGAACAAGATGAGTATCGAAAAAATGAGCAAAAGACGAGAGGATTTGGGGTTGGAGAAAGCGATACCGAGCACGCCGGTAAAGACGAGCGAGTAGTCATAATAGTCAGGGTAGTGGTAGTAATGAGAAAGAATCGTATCAGCTGTGTATCAAGTATTTCAAAACTGCCATAGTAACGTTCATAAAAGTTCATTAGGCAAACTAAATACATGCTTAGGCTGCGTCCATACTATAGATAATTGAGATAGAAAAAGGAAATTTAGGACATGATGCCCCTGTGGCCATCGCCATCAGCATCCTTGAACGGGTTCAGCTTGTCAACCAGAGACACCTTCTTCTCAGAAGAAGCATCAGTAGTGTGACTGTGGTGATCACCAGCGCGAGGCTGTACAACGTTAGTTGAAGTGAGGTGGGTTTGGGGAAAATGATAACTCACCTCGTTCTTGTTCAAGGACGAAGTTCCATTAAGGCCGGAACCATTGCCAGTTGTGTAGTTGCTGCCATTGCCTGTAGAAGTGTGAGTACCGTGCATGATACTCTGCACCGTGTTGGTGCCGCTATTCTTACCAGAGCCAGTGGTGTGGCCGTGGGCGATGTTGTCACGCTCATGGGTGCCGGCATTCTTGGACAGCCCATTGTTAGACAGGCCATTGTCACGGGTAGTGCCGTTACCGGTCAAACCGTTGCCATCGTTGGTCAAGCCGTTGTTGGTAGCGGTGTTGCCAGCAATGCCGTTGTTGGCTCTGGAGTTGGCGGTCTGAGCAGCAGTGACGCTGTCGGCAGCTCGCTGATTCTCAAAACCCTGGCCCTGACCAACGCCGCGGTTGGGCAAACTGGTCGTGTTGGACGTAGTGTTGCTGTTGTTGATACCGTGGGTACCAGTGGTTGTATTGTCGACCTTGTTGTTGTGGTGCTTGTGAGCGGCAGCGCCCGCACCGGCAGCAGCAGCGGCTCCAGCGGCGGCAGTGGTCTTGTTGTGGCTGTTGTGGTGACCCTCGCGACCATCAACACCGTGCTCTCTCAGGCCATCAGGGTGAGTAGCATCACGCTTCTCCTCCTTGTTGTGGTGGTGGTGAGCAGCAGCACCGCCGGCAGCGGCAACGGCGCCAGCAGCGGCAACCTTACCGCCATTGTGGTGGTGGTCATGGCCGTGCTTGTTGTGGTGCGATGCGAGCCCAGTGTGCTCGGTGCTCTCATAGACCTTGTTGTGCTTATCGGGGCAGCCGTCAAACTCCTTCAGCTTGTTGGTGCCGGTAAGCTTGTTCTTGCCCTTATTGAACTCTTCCATAGTCATTGCGGGAAGAGTGGTGGCGCCATGGTGGATTGGCTTAGCGTGGTGAGTCTCGTGGATGGGCACGGTGGTGTGCACGACGTGAGGCTGGATCGTCTCCTTCTGGATAACGGGCTGGATATGCTCGTGCACGTGGTGGTGGACACGCTCGCCGGTGACGACCGGGGCAGTGTGGGTGGTGTGTGTGGTCTCGTGGGTAGTGGAGGTGTTGTGGAACTTTGCAGCCTCGCGGTTGAGAGTGTCTCTGGTCTCACTCTCATTGCCGTGGTGGAAGGTCTTGTGCTGGGTGGGGATCATGTTGTGATGGTGCTGCTCAGGACTGCGCACCCATTAGTCAATGCCATGTGTGGGGTACAGATTTGATCTCACAGGGTTTCCTTGTGCTTGATGGGCTGAATGTGGGTATGGTGGTGGTCTTGGTGAACCTCCTTGTCGACTGCTGTCGTGACATTCTCGTGCTGGTGAGGGCGAACCTGCTCCTCGGTGATAGCTTGGCTTGCGTTCTGGGTGACAGTGGTCTTGTGGTGACCGTCACCAGACATGAATTCGGAAACTGCTGCCTTAGCCTTGTCCATGATGAGTGTGTTATTGATTTGATGTCTTGTGTGTAAGTTGTTGTGATTGTTGTGATGAGATACAAAAAGCGAAAGGTTTTTCGAGGTGATTCGACTTCGGTATATATGTTTACCCCGTGAGTCTGGACCCTGAACTTCACAAGCCACTTCATGGATCAGCAACGTCACTTGGCACTAGGCTCAGCTGTTCTCCCACATGCGGTGCACAGATACTCGCTCAAATCACACCCACTGCCGGGCGCCAATTTTGCTGAATCGCATTCCCCGGATACCCAACGGCCGTGATGAAGGACGTCATTTGCGATCATGATGAGGCGCGAATGCCATCGCATCGGAACGCCTCATGCTCGACCACGCAGACTCGAGCGCCAAGCACGTTCAGCTGAGCACTGCTGTCCCGAAGCTTGAATTGTGCCACTGACGACGTCCAGCAGCGAAACAGCTGGACGCTCTTGGCATGGCGTTTTTGGACGGGGAATGGCCAGCTGTAGTTGGATTAGCAGCTCCCACATAAGTGTCTCTAGCGCGCCAGATCATTCCGGTGGGCTTGATCCGCTCGACGGAAGGAGGCTTGTTATTTGGGATTAAGCGGTGGTCGAGGAATCCCATTGCAGGGGGGTTGGACGGCCGGTCGCTGGCTAGGCCGGCGCTAGCGGGCGATGGCTCGGGATGCAAGTCGTCATCGAGGAGGAGGCTCTGGTCGGAAATGGAAACTCCCGTACCAATCTGTCAACGGCGATCGAGGGGTGAGTTTGGCAATCGACAGTAAAAAAAGCCTTCTAGGTTTGGTTTTCAGCTGTCGCGGTATTCTCGCTTGGACGTTATTTACTGATCTTCGAGAATTTGTACATAAGCGTGACGAAGCTCCGCGTAAACGCCAAAAGTACCTCCCGGCGGTTTCCCTTCTCAGAATGATAGCTGATTTTCCCGAGTCAAGCGAGGACTTCGGAAGTAGAATTTAGGATAGACATCCGTCATCGGAATAGTTGCGTTTATGAAGGTTTTCTCGGCCCCGTTGAGGTGATGATGCACGGACTTGGAGGCCGGATACGGCTGGTGAGATGGAGCTGCACCTCCGGGGCACCCGGGATTATGTAGGCCGTGTCTTTTTCGGAGAGGCGGGTCGCGGGGAGCTGTGGACTGTGACGTGTCCAGCCATGTCGTTGTGCCCTAGCTGTCTCTAACATGGGGGCTGGCGAGGTTTCTAATCTGACCTCGCCAAAAATTGCTAGAACTGAACGACTCCAGGAATCCTAAGCGTTCTGACGGTGTTGAGCATATTTCTGTCGAATCCGCCGACGGTAATTTGCAGCCAGTCGGAGATGACTTCCTTCGACGGCGCGGCTATGCACCGCAGGACAGACGCCATGTTCGTATTGTCTCCAACATAAATTGCTGTTCGTAGCCACGCCAGTCATAGACGTCAAAGCTGCACAATATGGTTGGAACGAACAGCTTGATGTGCACGCCGGAGGCACAATAGGCGAGTTACCAATCAAACATGGATCTGAAGCTCTCTGAGGAATCGAAACCTCGTAAATGTGGTGCCGGACATGTTTGCTGCCAATAACGAGGGGTCCAGGATGTGACCCCAGGTCCAACAGAGGCATGTTTGCTGCTGCCAAGGTCTTGTTGGTTCACGGCCGGTCTCAACCAGGGCTTCTGCCTCAGCCCAACACGTTTGGAGTTGACGTGGTGCCCTCACCGCCAACAGTATTTCTCCCCAGGTACCTGCCTGATTTGAGCACCCTCAACTGACCTTACTCGTCAAAGTTCAACTCCTCATTCGCTATCAACACGTCGACGAACAAAATTCTAGAGAAGTAAACGTACTATCACGGCCACCACCATGGGCTCAACTGACGAGACATGCCCTGGTAATGACCCATCAGACTATCTCATGGAAAAGTCCAAGGCTCGAGACAAACTCACTGAGAATGAAGACCACAGTGGGTGAATACTCGGAAAGCGAAGCTCCTCGGACGGTATCCGGCATCTCTTACTTGACACTCTTTTGACCCTTCCCGCGGTTGCCTTCATCACCTATGCGTTCTTGGTTTTAGTCAACAACGGACGGGCTGTCGATCAAGGTCCTATCCCGCTTTTACGGACAACAGCTATTTACAGCCCAACACTTTTCCCGATCGCATTCTCTGCCGTAGCTGCCAGCTTCCTCAAAGCCGCGGCCGCCTGGAGACTAGAACAGGGTATATCGGTACTCAGTCTGGAGTATCTTTTGAATTGTCGCACAGTCTTCAGCGCCTTCACCACGCCGATGTCACTCCGGGCTGCAAACAGACTGACGCCATTGTTGATGATCCTCTGGGCCCTCTCACCTCTCGGTGGCCAAGCAGCCTTACGTATCATGGAAATGGTCCCTTCAACCGCTGCAGAGCCCTGGCTATTCCAAAACCTTGAGTTTATGTCCGCGTTCCGGCACTCAGGTCCCCAAAGCTCAGCGGGCTTCAGTCTCCTACCTTCCATCCAAAGCGCTTTTGTCATGGCGTTGGGAACCCCAGCGGACATCAAAGCTGAACCGCAAGATCTATTTGGAAACATAAAGATTCCGATGGTAGAAGCATTCCAGAATCTGCATCAACCGCTAGGCGAGGATAAGAAGGACAATGACGAGCAGAACGACAGCAGGCAGGACGACAACGGATGGTTTCACTTGGACTCAAAATCAGCCAAAGGTCCTGTGTGGTCGTCGATTGCAGGTATTCCCGTGGCTGCTCCAGGCGGGCTTTCATCGAAAGCAAACTACTCTTTCGCTTTCGAGGCTTCTTACATGTACGCGAACTGTTTCATTCACAGAGGGGCATCTATGAACTTCACGGAGTGGGCGTCATACAGACAAGAAGGTCCAGGCAGATACAGTACCAACCGAACTCTCGTCATCTCCACGAAGAGACCCCCGTCACCGTTTGACAAGAACCCATTGGAACTGGTCTTTACATCATACACCGCTATCCAGGAGCTCACAACCAACGCCACGTGCGTTTTGAGGACCACCTACGTCGAGGTTGATGTTGGCTGCCATGGCACCCCATGCGGAGCATGTCGTGTACGTCTGTTGCAGAAGCCGAATAATTTGACAGCACGAACCGTCTTAAACAACATGGCGCCCGGAGGACAGCCCGGCCATGGAACAGCCGGACTCTTCGACGGGTACATGAGCACTTTTGTCCGATCAGGGCTCTCGTTGTGGGATCTTCAAGAGGGTCGCCAGCTTAAACCATTTCCTTCGGCGCTTGAAGCCTACTTTACCGAGCCTGACTCACCATACTCTGCGGCGGGCATCAGCTCTTGGGATGGCATTGATATATATCCTGTTGGAGACCAAATGTTTTCACAGCGGTTCTCTCAACTTCTCAACACTTTCTGGCTCGCTTCCGTCGCATCACACAATATCACAGGGAATTTCCACTTCCAGAGCGATAGTGGAACGAATTTGCCAGGACCGATCATAATCCAGAACATCACTGGAAATAGGACTCCCGATTTCTTGGTCATGAGAGTGAATGACGGTTGGATGTTAACCTTGTTCGTGGCTTCTACGGCGATGCTTGTTTCTGGGGTCATTGCAGCCGTGCTTGATTCTATGAGACGAGGACCAGATGTTTTGGATCATCCGACATTCTTCTCTAGAGACACCCCGTATGTTAACGTTTCCCCGTGTTACTCCGGATCGGTGGAAGATGCAAGCGAGCAGGTTAGAAGGACTAGAGACATACGGGTGTGCATTGGAGATGTTAGTCCGACAGAGGCGACGGGTCATTTGGCGTTTGGTACCGTGAATGAGGCGATTCCACTGGGTCTCCAAAAAGACGGAAGGTACTATGCTTGATTTGCGCCAGCAAAGGAACGGAAATAAGATCCAGTGATACCCCCTGAAAGCCTAGCCACAGATTAACTCAAATTTAATGAAGGAGATATGAAATAGTCAAATTGACGTGACAGAAGTTTAGAGAGGTGAGTCCTAAAACAGACCTGCCTTGTTAGGTATTAAATTGAAGTAAGTCCTAGCCCGCTCATTTCGCAATCCTATCATAGTGATTTCTACTTCCTCGCTTGCCATCTCCAATTCGATCGACTAAATACATATGCCACTGTGACCTCATCTACTTTTGTTTATCAAGGCTGGGATTCACCTTCGAAGGTTTCAATAATCAAGCCAGATGGAGGGTGTTAATTGTTTCTAGCGAAGTCACTGGTTTCGTATGTATGCTGGGCGTTGACCATGAAGATGCTAAGCTGGTACTGAGAATTTCCACCACCGACGTAATCTGGCGGAGAATTTAGTAAGTAATTAATGTTGTTGCTGTGAGGCACCAATTTGTGTTTTTTCCGCGGCGCAAGCTTACATGGAAGTCGCGGTCGATGAGCGTGTCTCCACTGAAGGTACGCGAAGACAGCGGGTGGAACAGCAACCAAAAGCCCAAAAAGCCCAAAGACAGCTTCCATGGACAACATCATGGTCATAGCGAGTTGGTCGTTGAAAAGTGATCTGGTTGGTTGTCGGGGCTAAGTAGAGCATGGAGACGAGAACAGGTGGGAGAACTTCAGCCTAATAACGTCGGCTGATCCTGCGACCGGGAATGTTGCAGAGCGGTGTATATGCAAGCGTTGTATGATACATATGCAGAGTACCCTGTGGCTGGGTATAATTGGGCAAAATGTAGTCCTTCTAGCCCCTGTGCATGCGCCGCCATCGACTCAGTCACAAATGGCATCTCTCAGTCTCTAAGTAAGGAAGGTAATGGATCGTTCCTGTTCATGACGATGCAGCTACATTCGATTTGCACCTCCTTCCTAAGTGTGCTGGTGTTCGAGCCTGGCTATAGTTCATCTAGCTTTTAGTAAAATTATATTTACAACCGCTGTCGTCGTCGGGCTCAGTGTCGTCTGACATGCGGTGTCGTGCGGGAAACCTAGAAATCAGAGTTTATAAAGGTTTTTCAATCATGATGGTCCAGCGTACTTAAATCCCTGATTATCTCTGATAAACAGCATTTCTTAGAGCAGAAAAATATATCCATCCCGACTCTGTAGTGTCTTAAAGAGTAACTTCCGTAGTTTACGTGATCCTCTGCGCATTTCTATTATCTATACTGCTTTTGCCAGGTCTGACCTTCCCGTCACCATTGACGTCCCTACTATTGTTTCTGCTGCCAATAGTCTCTTCACTAGGTATTATGAGCCTGGCTCCTATGAAATCCAGAAGTGCCGTAAGTGCACTACAGTTACCGCCGTGAAGATCAAAGGGTTTGAAGATTTTCTATCCCATCAGGATGTCATAAGTCGACATGAGTCGTTGGAAGTTCGCCCTCTGCTGGTATGAATTGGCGAAACCAACTGTGCCACGCGGCTGTATGCTTAGCTTAATACTGATAAGACAGTATGCTGCCAAGAGATGAGAGCCTGAATGTGAGAAGTGAGGATATTGGCACTTTTGAGAAGTCAAATAAGCGAGCCAACCAATCGCCTGAAAGTCTTTTCCGCCAAAAAACAACACCAGCATGCATACTCAGCGTTGACTGCCCCACGCCGATAGCCGATCAGCCAGCAACGCACCGACTTCCGCTGGACATTCTTACCAGCGCTTCATCCCCTGTCCATATAGGGTGCGGGAGAACCAACAGAAGCTGATCGTCTCGGAATGCGCCGGTCTTAGCAGCCGCTTCGGGCGTTCGTCTAAGCATGGGAGTCATGCAGGGCGCATCCTTCGTGTCGGGCGAGGAAGGATGTCCAACGTCTGGGTTTTTGACTGCCCAAATTTGCTTGCTTCGTTCATTTTCTGTCTTTCAAATCCAGTCAGCTTCGTTACAATATAATCCTGCCAAGTTGCTCAACGATCGGGCCGGAAATCAAAATCTCGTGTCGACAACTACAATGCTATCCACCAGAGATGGCCAGTCAGATCTGGCACCCACTGAGAAAGCGGTGAATATTGCACCTACGTCGGTTGAAAGTGCTGCATTCGAAAATGAGGGTATATTCTCCGAAGATGGACTCCCACCCCGCGATCATGGGAGGGCGGCATGGACAAGCCTTATCGCTGTGTCAGCGATCGCCATGGCTACTTGGGGTAAACAGTGCTTCTTTTTCCAAAGCTCCAGCATTGTCAGACTATTAACGACGTCCTTCTGTCGCAGGCTTTGGCGCTACTCAAGGTGTTTTCCGAGAGTACTACTTCAAAACGCCTCCTTTCGAAGGAAATCAGTTGGTCGCATCCACAGGCCTTCTGGTAGTTGTGAGTGAAGCAACATGCATGGGTCAATTCTCAAAGACTCATCTAAACAGGGTCTTCTCCAAACGCTGCCGCCATTTCTTCTCAAAATAATTTCCACGTACCCTCATTACAAGTTTTATATGATGTGGAGTGGCATGTTTCTGGTGGTGGCATCTTCCATCGGTGCTGCCTTTTCCACATCTGCAAGTGTCCAGGCCAGTGACCCTTAGACGCAGTTCATGCTAACCTCTTCAAAGGCAGTTCAGGTTATCATGACTCAGGGACTCATGTATGGTCTATCGAGTGGACTACTATTTGCGCCGTGTCTCACGTTCGTGGATGAATGGTTTCTAAAACGACGTGGTCTTGCCAATGGCATTTTGTGAGTTGCCAAACCTTGTGTGCGAAAATGACGAATGGCTGACTAAAACAGCTTTGGGGCACCCAACATTGCTGCCGCAGGTCTTTCGCCCATATTCTCCGTTCTTCTCAAGCGCTTTGGTCGTCGAACTACCCTCATAGGATGGGCTGTATTCGCATCTGTCATTATATCCCTTGGCACCATCTGCGTTCGTTCCCGATGTGACAGCAAGGCGGAGGCAGCGACGGCGTCTCAACAGCCGCCTTCAATGAAGAGAATATTCAAGAAGCCAAAATTCTGGGTGTTTGTTGTTTCTATGACACTTCAAAGCCTGGCGAACAACTTACCTGCCAATTACCTCCCCAGCTTTGCGACTGACCTTGGTGTTTCGCCTGAAAAAGGCGCTCTATTGGTCACATTCTTATCGCTCTTTGGTATCATCGGTCAGATATCAATCGGTGCCCTAACGTCAGTTATTTGTGACCAAACTCATTGACACATGAGCTGCCAACTAACCTAGACCAATAACAGGGACGCGATCGGACCTTCGATGCCAATGCTGATGAGTACGCTCGTCAGCAGTTTCGCAGTGTTCGTGGTTTGGGGTCTTGGCAAATATTACTGGAACATGGTAGTCACATCCATACTGTTTGGCGCATTTGCTTTCAGCTTTATGGTGTTACGCAGTCATATGGCTGCAGTAGTTGTTGACGACCCCAATCGCCCAAGCGAGGAATTGTTCGTGTCTGGAATTCTTCTCTTCACCCGTGGTGTCATTGGAGTTGCTTCGGGATACATCGCTGCAGCTGTCCTCAAGAACAGTGACCATATTGGAGTCCAGCCCGGATATGGTGCCGGGAAATGGCGTGATTTTATCATTCTTGTTGGCACCACGATGACGGCAGCGACAGTTGGGGCGTTCGGTTTGTGGGAAAGAAGAAGATGATGACAGACACGAGAGCTTTTAATTGAACATGGGAACATCTTTTTCACGCGACTGGCGTGTCTTCGTCCTAGGTACCATGGTAGTATTGAAAATACTCGTATTCGTCGCTTTTCACGAATGCGGCAATAAAGTAAGAGGGATGGTAACAATGAAAGAAAAATAGAAGTTTGCATAGTTGATACTTGAATAGTAGCCCGCCTAGACAGCAAATCCATGTATGAGTGACTTTTAACAAAAGATACTAGAGACTCATGTAGATATGATCTAACTATGTCACTTCAGACAATACTTATCAGCTGTAAACTTGAAGCCTGTACTGTCCCACAGCTTACAGACGTAAATGCATCCTTCTCCCGGCAATTGGAGTACCGCGGTGGACTTGATAAGACCAAGGGACCCAAAGAAAAGAACAATCAACTTGCGGTTTATTTTAGTTGAATTTCTCTTGACAATCGGGTTCCTACATGATTAAACTGTCTGCTGTATTGACAATCATTCGTCCAGTCCATTCCGCGTTTCACGGAACTAGATGCAACGGGCCACCATTACCCACCACTGCTAAGCGGACTTGGAATGGAGGACATAAGGAACCCCAACAGCTTTTCCGAAACAAAACCTTCAAACATTCAAATCCCGTCGGGTGCCATGACGTACTGCTACGCAGTAGCTCGGACGCAAACTCCACTTGACTCGCACGTAGGAGTGCAGAAGCCCAGGCCCTCCGCACTGCAGTGCCAAGCCTTCGGGACCGTCCCGTCTGACCAACGGAGTCCGGGTCGTCCCCCGCGAAATGCTGCTATTCTGCGTCGCCAAGCGAGGTCCATCGCTGAACGTGTCACTGACAACCTTGGTTTGGGTGTTTCTTCGTACGAGATGCCAAGTCTCGCTACCCAACCAGCGCCGTCTGTTTGTAGCTGAGCGTGTATCATTACGTAAAACTGGCACCTCCGTGCGTTTCTCCTCACATCAGGTGCACTGCCGTGGGCAGAGTTACGTCGACGTAAGGTTCGCAACACAGAACTCTAGGTGTGTCGTGCTCGAAACCCCGTGACCCGCGCCCGAGCTGGGATCCTGGTTGGGGGCGCTTAAGCGGCGCTCGTACGCGACGACGTTTCCTACATCAGCTGCAGCTTCCCCCAATGCTGCCCTCGCCATAACCTCCGAAGCTCATGTTCTATACATCACGACGACGCTAACGACATCATGACGGGCGTCACGCAACTGGCTCTGCGCCCGGCTGTGGTCAGGGAGGATTTCGAGGCCGACATGGAGAGCGAGTGGATGGGGACACCGTCGGAAGACACTTTTGCCGATGAAGACGAGGTTCAGGTCGATCCCTACGGGGATCTCATTCTTCGAGTTGGTTGCAGCCCAATTTCTGGTGGAAGCCCAGCATTTCGGGTCTGCTCGAATGCCCTGAAAAGAGCATCGCCATTCTGGAGACGGACTTTGGCTGAAACCGCCGAGGAGACCGGAACGGCAGAGGAAGATTGGTATTGGACGCCATCACTCTTCGCATGCCCACACGAGAAATCTGATGGGCTGGTCATTTTGCTCAATATCATCCACTCAAAATTCCACTTGGTACCCAAGAGACCATCCCTCTCAGAGATGTACAACTCCCTTTGCCTCGCCAGCATGTATGAAATGGAACAAGTTCTGCAGCCATGGATCGGGCAGTGGTATGCCGTTATCGACAGCTTGGAATCAGCGAGAGATGGGCACAGCCTCGCCATGCTAGCATGCATCGCTTGGGGGCTGGGTGATGAGAGACTATACGTCAGAACGCTCACCGATATCACCCTCACATGTGTCGTGCACAAAGGCGGGCACATTATGACTGCCGATGGAGTTCGCTTGGACGATTATCTTCATGATGCGTTAGGCTCTCCAGTGATTTCAGGTATGAGCGAAACTGTTACCTCAGATTAGATTCCTGACATACTGACCTTCGGCAAGAAAACATCCGCTTAATGCGCAACCAATTAGCATCAGAGTTACCAGCACACATCAACCAACTCATCAAGCGCCTGATTGAGGGTAAATGGATGTGCACAGGGATATCTGACATACCGATAACGAAAAACAAGAAGTGCGACTATGTCGTGCTGGGAAGCTTGTTCGCGGGGTTGATTTACGTTCGAGGCTCCAAGGCAACAGAGCTTCAATTGAGGCAGGATGAAAGTATTGCAGACCTGCTCAAGTCAGTGAAGCGGGTGTTGTCGTACGTGTCTTGCTACGAAAAGCATACAGAATGCAATCCGGCGGAGAAGATCGCCGACGCCATGAAGGAAACAGTTGAAGACTTAGACACATCACTAAGCGTGGGCATACTCCAGCGAATGCGGGAACAGCGACAAAAAGCAGGTCTAGAAGCACAGACTTCTGAGGAAGACAAGGGATGAGCTATCGTCAAGTCATGGCATGCATGGACCACGTGGAAATCAAAAGTTTTGATGTTGTTACGAGTCAAACAGTGCTGAAAGCAGTGATTTGGTGGAGCGCGTGTCAATATGCGAAATGAGGAATGTGATCTTTGCTTTCGGCTACTAACCAGAACTGGCCTCTTGAACACGAATTGGGACAAATGGGCAGCATGTTTAATCAGTCACCTGATTAAGCTTAATGTGACTGTCGACTACACATCGTATGTGCCGCGTCCTTCATCAACTTAGCTTTCGGTCAAACAAGAGTTGCCTGACTTGTCCGAAGCCGCAACGGGGCGCGGAAAGTCCCTCATCGTGCCCAATCAGCGCTGATCTCGCTTACGATACAGCGCAGCACCGACATCCACTTGAGCTGGCTATGAACGGAATGGCTTCAAGATCCGGCTGTGTGTTCTAGTTGGTTAAGATTTCTCGTTCACATCATGTGTACCTGACCCGAGAAGGTCCCAGGTTCGAGCCCTGGCACGGTCAGATTACTTTTTGATGTTTTCGTCGACGAGCATTCATCTCGAGAGTCGCGTTCTAGAGGCAATTGGCGGTGTCTTCCTTTTGAACCCGGGGTGACAGGCCAAGAGCAATTGGATGACAAACGGATTGCTATGGCTTCTTTCATGTACCATGCTTACGACAGGCGTTTTGAGCAAGTTCTTGGGGTGGTTTGCTGGCTCGCTCCGGAGCGGCAATCTCGGTCGCCGGCGACCGGCCGGTTCGGCACTTTAGCGCCGCCCACTCGGTGCCCCTTCGCTAAGCCCCCTTTATTTCAGTGTGACGACTACCCGCCGGGCTAAGCTTTGGATCGGGGGATTGTCCACCAGTAGTCGTCGTTGAAGCGGCGAGGTGCATCTGGAATGCAGACCGGTTGACGCGGCAGTTGATCTCGCAGGAAAACCGATCATTGTGTTTCAAAACACAGCGCAACGCATTCGAGAATGTGATTTGGCTAGACGGCTGTCGCGGCCGTATCGATGGGCTCTGCAGCCGTCATTGCAGCTGTTTCCCGGCGCGCGGAGCAAAACAAGCCGTAAGGCGTGCTTGGCGCGTGGACCGCATCCTGGTAATCTGGGGGAGGTTCGCCGACGGGCTGGCCAGACCTATCTTGGCGCGGCATTGTGAGCGATTGCCGGCATAGGTGTCTGCGCCTTGCTGCAAGGGATACATCAGGGGCAAACGATCCGGTGGGGAAGCAGAGGCTCTTCGTGAACGGTGAGCATCACGGGGCTGGCCGACGGAGATGACTTCGATTCTTGAGTCTAGCGCCGAATTGATTTTTACTGAATACGGCGTGTCGATGGCGGTCAAGTTGACTTGGCCACAAAAGTGTCCGTCGGTGTATTCAGTCAACGAGTGAAAACACAATTTGATGGCAAGCCCGAGCAATGACGTTGTCTCATTGAATTTTGCAGGAAGATATTAAGTGCCATTGAGCAAAAGCAAAGAAAATCGGTAGGGGCGGATTGACATAAAGTAGCAGTGCATGTGGCAATGGTCTATCCAGCACACGGAGTTAGCTTCATATATATTCTGTGGGGAAATATTGGTGAGGCCGCAGGGAACAACACGGCAACATCGGCTAACCATGGGAACTCCCTAGCCTCCTTTTCAGGCTCTTCTGATCTTGAGAGAGGAGGAAATGTTTTTCGAGGCTGAGCCATGGAACGCCCTGGGAACAAACGAGTTCCCCCCTCCCCGAACACGGGATTCCGCAACCGACATTCGATATCGGCTTTCCAATGTATTGATTGGGGGGTTATTAATGCCGTCCAAAATCGGGTGAACACGAGTCAAAGCTCAATTTCGACGGCCGCAAACCTTCTGCTTTTGGGTGTGTTGTGGCCGGGATGACACGGCTTTGAGTTCTCCCCTAGAGCCCTTTTGGCTGGCGCAACACCACATTTACTTGACAGGAACGTAACGGGCAGATTAACCAGCCCACTTACCCCATTGGTGGAGTCATCTAGAGCGCCGCGTGGTGGGCAGCGTTGGACGTCGGTAACCCGAGGTCTTGTTAAGGTGAAACTGCCCCTGATTCTTTTCGCACCCAGCGGCGCACCCGCTAAGCCCGCAACAAGCTTTCCGTCCGATGCTTAGCTCCGGCATCCCGGTTGACACGGGGCCCAGGGTCGACAGACACTCACCTTGTGGCCGGACACTAACGTCACATCTGGCATTCGTCACCGTAATTGGAGGGACCAGTTTTCTTTCTGGAAGGAAAAAAATGTTTGCCAAACCCTGACGTCCGTTAGCATGTTGTGAGTATATCAACTGCCGCCCTCCCGCCGTTGGAGCTGATCTTGGCATCCGATTGTCGGTCCATCCTCCTTACAAACCAGACGTTCTCTTCTTGCACATACATTCGCTTTAGTTCAACCAGTCATTCTTTGCAGACTTCCATTCACGATGCAGCTGTCTTCTTACCTCGTCTCGGCCATCATGGCCGCCACCGCCGTGGCCAGCCCCACGCCCACCATCGAGAAGCGCGCCACCACCTGGTGCGACTCCTTCGGCTCCCTCGCCACCGGCGCCTACACCGTCTACCACAACAACTGGGGTGCTGCCCAGGCCACCTCCGGTTCTCAGTGCACCACCTTCAACTCCCTGAGCTCCGGTTCCGTCTCTTGGTCTACCTCTTGGACCTGGGCTGGCGGTCAGGGCCAGGTCAAGTCCTACTCCAACGTTGCTCTGGAGAAGGTCAACAAGCAGCTCTCTGCCATCAAGTCCATCCCCTCCAAGTGGACCTGGAGGTTAGTGTTCTCTTCGAAGCATTTCCTACTGTCGCCATACTGACCTGAATACTCCAGCTACACTGGCTCCAACATCGTAGCTGATGTCGCCTACGACCTGTGGCTCGCCCCCTCCGTCGGCGCCAACAACAAGTACGAGATCATGATCTGGCTCGGCTCCTACGGCGGTGCCGGCCCCATCTCCAGCACGGGATCCAAGATCGCCTCCCCCAAGATCGCCGGTACCACCTGGAGCCTCTTCTCCGGCCCCAACGGCGACACCACCGTCTTCTCCTTCGTTGCCCCCAGCAACATCGCCAGCTTCAACGGTGACCTGAAGGGCTTCTTCGACTACCTCGTCTCCAGCCAGGGCGTCGCCAACACCAACGTCGTCACCTCCCTCCAGGCCGGTACCGAGCCCTTCTCCGGCACCAACGCCGTCTTCAAGACCTCCGCCATCTCCATCTCTGTCTCCTAAATGGTCCTTGTGCGGCCGTTGAATCGATCCAACTGAGTTCGATCTTGATTCCCGAGTTTGATGGCGAGTATTTAGCATAAAAGCCTTTTCGACACGTACATATTGTTGCTTCCCGTACATAATACAATAACAGAACCCTAGTTGGTCTGCCACAATTAGCTTGATCTCTCCCAAGTGACTCTCAGCAGCAGACTGACCATAAATAACCATCGAGATTCCAAATGAGTGGATATGGTGCAATATGCTAGACGGTGACCACACGTCTGATGGATGAAAGTCATGATTAGTAACCCCTTCCACCATGAATCTAGTCTTAAACCTTCACCAGCGTGCCTTCCGGCGTTCTATGAACGTTGTACGCCCTTAGGTGATTATCCAATGCAATATAGCTCCTAAATGTTTGTAAAGTGGTACATCTTGTGGCTCCTGCTGAAGTTATTCTGTCTCAAGAACGGAACTACTCAAGTAGGAGGAGTTACAGACATTCAGTGGTCGGACTATACTCTCAGTACTAATAAGGTACCTCGGCAAAACAATGGAATGCGTCAATTACATCAAGTGGGAATCCTCTATCCGTCACCGAGTCGCAAGCCATCATTTTCGCTTGCGGACTTCGCATAACATACAAAGCTCTTCCTGTTTAATCATGGTAGCTTGTTCCTCAAGGAACGGCCAAGGCACGTTGTGAATCTCCTCAATATAGACACGAAATCACTGGGGAATCACGATGTCGAGCCAAATGCCTGATATGTACTGTTGGATTGAAAATATGTACGTCAAGAAATATGGTGATCATGCCAGTGACCGCCCCTTTACTCGGCCTTCTGGGCCGGGATGTTGAGGGTAGCAATGTTCCATGTCTTGCCGCCGTCAGAGGTGGTCATGGCACCACCGGTGGCACCATGCTCCCAGCTTCCCCTGTGTCCGAAATTCTTGTCGGCCTCGCTAAGCACAATAGAAACATCCTTCCAGGCTATGAATGAGTTAGCTTCGGGCATTGGTTGACGTGATGAGTGAGACAAACTGTGGGCAGGGTGATTCGCGCAGCCGCCGCTGGCGCACTCGATTGAGATGTAGAAGATGTTTCCGTGCTGTCCCTTGCCTGTGCAGATGCAATTAGCATTGGCTGGAGTCAAATGTTAGTCTTGTGTCGGAAGGACGTACTGGTGTTCACGGTGGAAACAAGCTTGCCGTCGACATAGACGTTCTGGTCCCAAAGCTGGGTCGACGGGTTCAGTTTGTCTATGGTCAAGGTCAGTCTCGATGTGCCGACAACGAAGACGGGCCTCGCTTACAGTGAGTTCTAACAGTCGATCCTGCGGAAGCCTTCACGGGGGTGCCAACGGTGGGGTTTGAGCCTAGTCACGGATCAGCGCCGGTCGATCAAGTGCCGCATTCGCGAGCGGCTTCAGATGGTGATACGCACCGACCAGGGTGTACGCGAAGTTGCACCAGTTCTTTCCTCCATCTTCGCAGTAAGATCTAACATCCATCGTCAGCGATGCGCCAAAGAATCGTTAAAGTTGATTGCGCCATACCCGCTCGGAGAGTTTGAGGTAACGCCCTGGAGGAAGGAAGCCTCGTTCTGCATCATGATGGCGCTCCAGATGGCGACATCTCCGGAGATGGCGCTGGGCAGCTCGGGAAGGACGAGAGTTGCGCTTGCCTCTTGGATGTAAGCGTTGCCGTTGGTGAACAGGGTGACGATGTCGGAGTTTGCCTGGGCAAGGCTGGCGAGTGCAGCAATCATGCCGCAGACGGTTGCTTGGAATCCCTTCATGGTGCCGGAGATAGACGTGTTGCGCTTCGGAAACGACTGTTTGGGAGTGGTATCGGAGAGTCTACTGAACAACGCTAAATAAACGCAATGAGGATAAGCATAACCTTATATGATCGTGGCTAATCTCTTGAGCCCGCGCAAATACGCATTCGAGGGGACATTGCGTCTGGAACTTTTACGTGTGGGAGCCATGTTGGTCTCTATTCGAAACTTCGATTGTGGTCATTGGAGCGTGCGCTATCATGTCTGAGGAACTTTTGACTCCGCAATATACTGCTTTCATGATCGTTCCAGTTGCATGGTAATTATCCCGTCGGACCACAGCCGTTCGGATGAATCGCTGACTCGATGCGATTGGAGGAATCTCCTGAAAAGGCGGGGCTCAGGGGACAATGTGCGGAAGATCTGGGCGCCTATCCACTCTTTATGCGGCGCAGAGTCTCATTCGTTTACGTACAGTAACCTTCTTTACGCATCATAAAATGGCAACTCCCGCCGGCACAGATTCGTCTACAGGGCGCGTATAGTTTTACGATATTACTTGGCTGGCTGGATGACTCTCTGTCCATTGGATGCGGCCTACGGTCGCTGCCTGGAGATGCCATGTCCATCAGACGGACCACTCCGGCTGTGCGACAGCGGACCCGCCCCCTTTAAGATGTGAGCCCCGGATTGCTCCGGACGTGGTGTATCTGGCTGGAGTTGTTGCCCCTTTTGTGAGCTGGGCAGTGATACAATCGGGCCACCAAGAGCATCTCACCAATTTTTGCAACCGAATCAATGCTTTCTGTCTTCAGATGCTCACTATCAGAATTGAAATCTGGAAGCTGAGTCGCGACTCGAGATTAAGGGAATACGCGAGATGTTGACCCCATTCTCATCAATCCCAAGCGGAAGTTTATTCGCACAGTTGCGCGCGAGTTGAGTAATCAAGACCGGTTGCGAAAAGACTTGCTTTCTTATTTGCCATTTCTTTGGTTTGCAAGATTTTTCTCGCATAGGCACCCTCGCCCCTTCAACCCGCTTGAAATGTACGTCCCAAACCAACCGCCAACTTATGATAACGGTAATCGATGTGCAACCATAAACGACACAGTTTTGCGCATATTCTACAGATTCTCCACGAGGAAGCCGGCTGTTTACCCGCCGCTAGATGCCAACTCGAAAAGATAAGAAATGCTAGGAGTATCAAAGCTCATCGCAGTAGAGTCAATATTCGACAACACCATGCTGGGGCTATCTGCCAGGCCCAGGTCCTGATCTCCACCAAGTTCGAGCGGAACTGAAAAGGGTGTCTCTGACGGGAGGACAAGTGTCGGACTCGGCACAGAGAGATTCGAATCGCGGCACATGGAACCATAGTCGATCATGGACCACAGCGCCGCCTTCAGTTCAGGTCCCAGATCAGGGGATTTGTGAGCATTGAATAGTGACGTGAACAGATGGGCGTGGCTGTTGAAAGCTAAAAGCCGTCGATGCTGCCGAGCAACGTCAGCAAGACTCCCAAGATCAACGTATTTGGAGATCAGGTCGACTTACCATCTTGGAAGCATGGTCCCAGAATTGACCCATCTTCTCGAGGATACTCAAACTTTCCTGGGTGGCGCGTAGCATTTCCGCCGATCGCTGGCCTCCATGATGTTTCTCGGCGTGCATGTTGAGTGACAAAGTACTGCCAGCTAGGCACGCTGAGTAGGCGTAGAATGAGGCACCGAGATGGCACCCGGCTGCAGCTGCATCATGCAGGACGTTGATTAGACTCCGTGCGTGGTCGTAACTTCTTTGGAAAGCAAGTAAGAGAAAGCTTGAGGGAGCCTGGCCATTCCGCCCACGTAGCCGTCTGCGTAACAGGAATGGGTGGTTCAGGAGACAGTGACAGAGGTTGAAGACCGTACGCGCAAATATGACGTGCCCCACAACTTGATGGTCGATGGATCCTTCTTCTGTCCTGTTCGTTTCAACGATAGAGTCGATAGAGATTTGGTCCATCTGAAGACGAGACTCGACTAGAAGTAGAATGGAATTGATGGAGGCGTACTCCGACCTCGAGTCCCATGGAGGAACACCATCCACTTCGCGGTCGTGGAGAACGTTTCGTGTACACCGCCCCAGAGCAGAGCCGGCTAAGATCGCGATGGGAAAGTTTCCGCGAGCTGAAGAGGGGTCCGTATTCCAGTCATGAAGCTGGTGTAGAGTCACATTCCTCTCCAAACCCCCAATGCGGAACGTGGTCTCGTCGCATGGTAGTCGGACACTGCAATCTTCGTCTGAAATAGCGAGATGGCGATCTTTTCCGCATGAAACGAGCTTGTCGAGGAGGTATATCGACCAGAAACACCTCCGTCTTTCTTCTTGTTCAATGATGGACAGCTTTTCGCTGGGCTCTCTCATCAACTGAAGATCCTGTGCTATTCGGATGGCTAGGCCAATCTTCAGCCACCCAGAGCTGGTTCGTCCCGCTAAAGCTGGTATCAGCTGACCAGTCCCACATGTTAAGAGATCAACTCACAGGTAAAATCAATGATAGCTAAAATATTTGTCGCCTGGGCGACGTGCAGATCAGGTGAGTCCTCTGCTGTCATATGATCAGTGAGCACCGACAGCCAGGCTTCCCTCGCGTAGGCTTCGGTCGCTTTGGCCCTTACTCCAGCGTAAAACTCATGATCCGAAAACCTCATGGATGACGCCAGAACCGCGAGCACGACGCATTTTGGAAGGGATTTATCGGCCAGCTTTTGTCGAAAAGTTTCTTCATGGAAGTAGCCGTAGGGTTGATTGTTGCAGTGCGTGAAATATGTGTCGATCAAGGACTGCATTACATCATCCGGGGGCAGCTTGCTCAGGTCCCTACAATGTAGTTTAATCAACAGGGCTGTCCCGCAGGATCAGCTTCAAATAGCTAAGAACACTTACACATCATTTATAGGGGCGTCCCGAGAGCTTCCGCTTGGAGATATTGAGACCTGGTCTTCCAGGTTAAAGATGTCTGCCGCGTCATCGTTTGAAAACTGTGGTTCGACTTCAAAAGTTGTGTCGGTGCCGGCGAACGTGCTAGAATAAGTACATGAGTGCCATGATCTCTCTTTTTACAGTGAGCTTGAATGGAGATAAAGCCCTACCATGACTCCTTTGGTGGCTGACCACTGAGTTCTGCCAACTTGGTCTCGATCGCAGAAATGCGCTGGAAAAGCGCAGACTGTAACGCAATTAGTCCAAGTAGACTAAAGATATAGAGAACGTTTCATTCCAACACTTTTCATCATCTCCAAGAACGCTGCTGATGCGCTCCCAGATAGAGCAGACGACGTCGCCGAGTATGGTTCATAAGAACACCGTTGCATGCTGCGTCGACAATTACCACATCTTGGCTTGTCTCCAGAGCATTTGATCTTCTTCTGCCTGTGAAGAGAAAGGTGATCATTAGCAAGTTTGGTTCCAGTTCAATGACTTCCCAAACACACCTGCAAGTCGTGCAGGCCTGGCGGATGCGCTTGATGCCCCCGCTGGCCGGTGGTGATCTCGGCTCAGGGGAGCCGGATGTCATCCATCCTGTCTCTGTCATGTCTTCAGACATGCTTTAGGTATGTGAACGGTGATGCTGTTCTGAAGTATGAATCTAGCCGTCTTGCGTGCATCAAACCGGTGACGTTGAAACTCCGATGAGAGGGCGCTTCAGCAATATCCGGTCGTCCTGAGCTCGATGCGGGGTAGGTCGGGGTGATCACGTGGGGGCATATAGTCGCATCCTTGTCGTTGCTGCCGTTTCCCCAGAAATTTAGCTGGAAATAGCATATCTGGGGCTGGGAGGCCAAGTTGACGCATGCAAGCCGGCGATTTGGTCAGACTTTTCTGACTCGTCCCGGCTGGCTCGGAACCCCACCGGAAGAACGCGAAGGTCTCCATCCCATGACATCAACGGGTCACACTGTCTCATTGGCACGTTGATTGAAATGGTGAAATATGTTCAGAGGATCTTCTAGGGTAATGATCTCCTTGAACGCCAAATTTGAAGGTATTCTATGGATATTTGTGTCAAATCTTTGCGCGAGGTGCCTTGGCCGCATATTCATCCCAGTCAACCTTGTTTCGTTTTTGGAACTCCCCTATACCAAGGACAGCATCACAACCAGGTGCCATCATTGACTCAAAGAGTTTTGCAACTCTTTCTTCTTGAGCTGTTGTGCCACCACGAGACCATGCCAGTTTTACCAAATCCTTTGACATCCTGGAGCCCCCAGGCGACGAGTGACGGAGATTGCGAATAAGGTGTTCAACCGTCTTGCGCAGCTCAGCTGGTGTGTCGGCGAGCAACGATACGGCTCCCTGGATTTTGAGCTCAGATGCCGAAACCGCCCTCGCTGTCAACATTGCGTCTCGTGAAAGCGCCAAGCCCCATTCGCGGATCACGTATCTGGATATCACTGCAGGGCAGAGACCCAGCTTGACTTCCGAGAGAGTGAACGTTGCCGAAGAAAGGCATATCCTGATGTCGCACGAAAATGCCAGCCCGATTCCACCGCCAAAGGCCGCGCCGTTGATACACGCGATCGTTACCTTACTCGAGTTGTCGATTAGCTCGAACAAGCTCTTCAGTGGCTTGAAAATGCCCGAGCTTGCATCGCCTCCTTTACCAACAACAAGGGCGGCCTGGCTGAGGTCCATGCCGGTGCAGAAAAATTTGCCGTTCGCGCTGATTACAATTCGTGATATGGATGGATCATTCTCGAACGTCCTGAAAGCTGCCTGGAAATCTTCAATCATTGGAGACGTGAGAGGATTGCCGTTACGCGGTGTGTTGAGGACGATGTTGCCTGTTGCCCCCGATCGATACACAAGCAGACGCTCGGTTGCTCGCACAAGTGACCAATCCAACCTTTTTGTTGACTCTAGGGATGCCTCCTTGGAGGCTGTTGTGCCTCTGGATGCAATTTTCGCAGACAGAGCCGCCCCGGCTCTGCTATCATTCGACTTCGAGAGCACCTTCGAGATCCACGCACCAGTTTCCGCAAGCTTCTGCAGATTGACCCCAGTGCTCACACCCGCATTTTCGAACAGATATACGACGTCTTCCGTTGCCACGTTGCCTTTGGCTCCCGGTGCGAAGGGACAGCCTCCCAAGCCGCCGACACTGCTGTCAAACGTGCGCACGCCACATTCGTAGGCTTTCCACACGTTTGCCAAAGCCTGCCCATATGTATCGTGAAAATGCCCAGCTAGTCTTGCCGGGTCAATCCCTTGGCGACTGAGGAATTCGACCAGCCGCCGTACATCTGGTGCTGTTCCGACCCCCAGAGTATCCCCGAGACTGACTTCGTAGCATCCCATATCGAACATGGCTTTGACAGCGCGGTGGACGGCGGATAACGGCGTCGGACCATCGAACGGGTCGGCAAATATGCATGAAACGTACCTGATGCCACAGAAAAATGGTTAGTCAGCGAACAAACAATCACAAATTTGTATGGAACTTCTGACTTGCCCTCTAACAGCAAGACCAGCCGAGACCGCCTTTGTTGCTACCTGGTGTGCCCGTTGAATTCCCTCGTCAACGCTACAGTTGAGGTTGGCGCGACTGAATCCCTCAGTTGCACTCATGAAAACGGCAACTTCCCGAACACCGTGATTCAGCGCGATCTGAAGCCCTTTGGTGTTTGGCACCAGGACGGGAAGCCTCAGGTCCGACGATGATCGTAGCCATTCTCCAACAAGACCCGATGAAAGTACTTGGCGGCAATCTGCAAGTTGCGGGATTGCTTTTGGAGACACAACTGAAGTGATCTCTATGTTTTGGAGGCCGGCTTGTCGAAGCCTCTCAATCAACGCTACTTTGTCGCCGGTATCAATCGGGCTTTTGACGTTTTGGAGGCCATCGCGGGGGCCAACTTCGACGATTCTAACAGACATCTGGAACCAAAAGCTGTTTCCTTTGACGATCAAGCATGCGAGCGAATAACACGGCCAGGAAGGGGACAATTACGAGGTACTTGATAGGGCTAGCTATGGTGGCTTGGTGGTGCCGACTACCTACTTACCCCGGTCTTTGGGGTCCGGACCGCTTCCCGGAACATGTACGTACCGACTCCCAGTGCCGAGGGCCGGCCGTCCTGATTGGGCAATTCGGCTTTCATGAACCATTTTCGGTTAACGCAGTCGTGGAGCTGCTTGTTGGCAGCTTACAGCCGGGTGATCTTCACATCGGAATGAGCTTTCCACAATAGGGGCTTTGGGGGTGAGCTTGCAGCAATACGGGAGTTTAACAATGTTTCAACAGATATGACGATATACATAATCCAATATGTCATCAAGTCAAGATGAACATGAGCTTGGTATGGTGATACTAGTGTAAGATCGATCTTATTCTGAATGAATGTTTGCTAGTTTACAATTTTGCCTGTACTTTAGATCGCTTCACCAATGCATTTCCGAGCTCCCTAACAAGATGCTTCTGATACTTTCCGCTGCCGGTCTTTGGCAGCTCGCTACCAACGTCGGGACTTCCAAGCCAAAAGATGTACTCGGGGGCCTTGTGTCGGCCCAATCGCTGCGTGACCCATGTTCTAATCTCCTCATCAGAGGGCCTGGTCGCGTCTGATTCTAATTTCAGGAAGCATGCCACAACTTCGCCGTACTTCTTGTGATCAAGACCCACTACACAAGACTCTCCAACGGCCTCATGAGATAGCAAGCGAGCTTCGATCTCGATGGGGGAAATGTTCTCCCCGCCTGATATGGTCTTAGACACGGAATTGTCAAAGGGTAATTACGACTTACCACGAATAATCAAGTCCTTGATGCGGCCGGTGATGTGGCCGTAACCTTCATCGTCAATGAAACCCTCGTCGCCGGTGTGCATCCATGGAACTCCATCTTCATCTGTTCTCATCACCTCCTGGGTTCTCTCCTCGTCCTTCCAGTATCCCTTCTGCAAAGCAAAGCCGCTGGTGCAAATTTCCCCGCGGGTGCCTCGTGGCACAATGTTACCGTTTGTGTCCACGATCTTTGCACCAGTGCGGGGGAGCACCTTGCCTAGGCTCTTGAACATCCGGTCATCGGTATCACCTAAAGCCGTAATGAAGGTGACTGGGCTGGTCTCCGTCATCCCGTAAGCAATGAGCATTCCACCAATCCGCATTTCCTTGCGCAGACTCTCCATCAGTGGAGGCGGAACTGGAGACCCCGCTGCGAGACCGGTGCGTACGGTACTGATGTGATGACCGGACTTCTTCAGAACCTCTAGCTCTGCAATAAACATTGTTGGGACACCGAGAAGGGCGGTGGCCTTCTCGTTGATGATGGCGTCAATAGTTCTTTGGGCATTGAAGCTGTCGGACGGAAAGATGATGGAGCTTCCGTAGCAGAAGGCGGCTAGAAAGCCCATCACTAGACCGAAGCAATGGAATAGAGGTGGAGGGCAGCACACGACATCTTCATGGGTGAGTTGCATGGCATCGCCAACGAACCTAGCGTCGTTGATCAAATTGCTGTGAGACTAGTAAGCGATGTGAGATCAACGCTTCTTAGGAGTGGGCTCTTACAAATGAGTCAGAACTGCGGCTTTTGGTGATCCAGTTGCTCCTGAAACGGTTTCTTTTAGCACAAAACATGCATGTAAATATGGAAGGAGGGATCTCACCAGAAGTGAATTGGAGATTGAGCGTGTCGGTACGGCGAACCTTTCGCTCCGCACGTCTCAAAGCTGAATCGTTCATGAAGATCGAGTGACCACCGTTGAGGAAGGTGCTGTAAGTCTGACACATACTGCCTTGGCCTGGAAATCTGGCGGTGTCGAGACACACGATGTGCTCAAGCTTAGACCCTTTCGGCAGAGCGCATAGGGCTTGAATATGGGATAACAGTGAGTTTGATCCGATCTGAGAAGCCATAAAAACCACCTTGCAATCTATTTACTGTATAAGAAGCCATATTAAATGATGCGATGGTGGACAGAAGGACTCACCGCTGTGCAACACTGCACTACTCAACTCGTCCGGGGAGTAGGTGTTATGTAGGACGACGAACGGGCAGCCGATGCGAGCCGCCCCCAGGAACAACTCGATGTATTGATAGCAGTTTCCTGCCATAATTCCCACACAATCGTCATACTTCAAGCCAAGTTCAAGCAAGCCCTTGGCGGCGATTTTGCTCCGGTCCGCGAGGTCCTTGTACGTAAGGCGGGTAGACTGCCAGGGCACAACGACGGCTGTGCGATCACCATACGCCTTGGCTTGGTCCTGAATAACAGACCCAAGCGTCTTTTCAAGAAGTGGGGGATCCTTCGGCCCAAACACTAAAGATGGTGTCTGTTGAAGGGGCGTGTTGCGGGAAGAGGAGGACACGGCGGTGGCTGACATTGTGATGGCGCGGATTGGAGGAGTACGAAATTCTGAGAATGACAAGTTCTCAATCCGCAGAACGATAGTTCAAGATATGTCATCTGAAGATGGTCTAGCGGCAACACCCAAATACTTCCGGCTCTTACACAAGAGTGACTGCACCCAGTGCTTGCGGGGCCGGCAGAGCATGAATGCTAGGGGCGGCCTCGGCCTATCGGCCACGGTCCGAACCCCGGATTTAATCCCCGCGCCGGCCCAACATTTCGCATCAACAGTGCCGACGACCATTTTACCGATATTGCAACCGCAAAGCACCAGAAAAACAAGCATATCATTAACATTGAACTATACTAGACACCGACTCTCACCAAGCAGGTTACATGCGCGCTTGAGCTCACGGCAAAATGGCACAACCGTTCCCAGTTGAGAAGTCGGTCCTCGACCTCGGTGCGCCAAATTTCCAAGAAAATCGATCTCAATGGGAGAAAGTACTCGCAGAATTCGACCACAACCTTCGGCAGGTTTCTTCTGAGGGTGACGATGTGTCGACAGCTAGACATCAAGGACGAGGGCAATTGTTACGTAGGTATTCTCACAACCTACATCGGAAGGCATTATACTGATTACCCACAAAAGAGCGGGATAGAATCAACTTGTTACTGGATGCAGAGTCACCATTTTTGGAGTTAGGGGCTTTTGCTGGGTTTCGCAATGCGGACTCGAATTCTTGCGGCAACCTCATTGCTGGTATTGGTCTTGTCAGGTAACTCAGCTTGCCGGTACCATCTGGTTTTATGACGATTAACGTCAGGGTAGTGGACGGCCATGTATCGTCATGTCTCATATCCCAACCCAGAGCGGTGGAGCTTGGAACGAGATCACAGGTTGGTGAAGATTTTCCCACCCGTTTGGATTTGGCTCAGAACCACCTTGCCTAGTGCACAAAGTGAACAGAATTTTGGAAGTCGGCTTTGAGAATGACCTTCCGTTAATTTCTCTGGTGCAATCGGTACGCTTGAATATCAGTTCACAAAAACAAGACTATGGACTAATTGATATCAGGCGGGTGTCTTTCTGCCACAGCAGTTTAGGGTATTTCACAAAGGTGGACAACTTTTCCGCGATCTGGCCATCCGCTCTAAGCATGGAAAGCCATCCTGCGCTGTGGTTTTCGGCCCCTCAACCGCCGGCGGAGCATATCACCCGGCTCTCTCGGATTACACCATCTTCGTTGAGAACCAAGCACAGGTATTTCTGGGAGGTCCACCCCTCGTCAAGATGGCGACATCAGAGACCGTGACTACCGAGGAGCTCGGCGGAGCCAAGGTTCACGGAACAGTGACTGGCCTGGCTGACCATACGGCACTTGACGAGTAAGAGCACATTTGCAACGCGAAAGGTTTAGAGGAGGCGATGTTGACTCATCACAGATTTGACGCCATTCAGAAGGCGCGGGAATGGGTTGCCACTCTTAACCCACTGGGCCCTAGCCACCAAGGAGGCATGGTTGAAGAGCCACTGCCTCCTCGATATCCAGTTGAAGACCTTCTATCGATCGTGAACACCGACATCCGTAAACCCTTCGACATGAGAGAGGTTTTGTTGCGCATTGTTGATGACTCGAGGCTTTCGATTTTCAAACCAGGCTATGGTGTCAACATGCTCACTGCTTGGGCTGATATTCTCGGTAAGCCCACGAAGTACCCTTCAAAGGTCGACTGCGTCTTTCTTCTCGGTCGCTAACCATTCTCGTGTAGGTTTCCGAGTGGGTATTGTTGCGAATCAGACGCCTGTGATTCACCCACAAGAAGCCCTGAAAGCGGCTCAATTCATCAGACTGTGCAACCAGGAGTATGTTACACCATCTTACCAAGTTCAATCTGCTCACCAAAGTCTTTTTGCAGGGTTATCCCTATTGTATTCCTCCACAACGTAACTGGGTTTATGGTTGGTACCAAAGCAGAACATGCCGGAATCATCAAGGCAGGTGCGCAGCTCGTATCAGCTGTTAGTTGTTCTTCAGTCCCACACATCAGCATCATTCTCGGAGCGTCCTATGGTGCGGGCAACTACGCCATGTGCGGAAGATCCTATCGACCGAGATTTCTTTTCACGTGGCCAACAGGGCGTTGCAGTGTGATGGGCCCAGACCAGCTAGCAGGCGTGATGGAGACCATCAAGTCCAAGTCCAACGGCGGTAGTAAGCTTTCGACGGAGCAGATCAAGGCTCAAGCACAGAAGGTGAGGGGTGATGCGTATCGAGACTCGGAGTGTTATTCGACTAGCTCCATCCTCGTGGACGATGGAGTCATAGATCCAAGGGACACTCGCGATGTGCTAGGGATGTGCTTGGAAGTCGTGCAACTGCCGAACAAGAAGGACGTCCAGTCACATAGGTTTTTGTCTAGAATTTAGTGCGCAATAGACTGCTTTCTAGATCACCTAAGAATGGATATTATTTAATGACGTGCAGATGAATGGTTCAACTTCAAATTATGACCCATGTCATGCGGTGTGCAGACCAATTACTTGTCGATTTCTTTCCAGCGGTAAATGACCGGCACCAATTCTTCGACCTCTGCAATCATTCATGTTCATGTCTACAACGGAACATTCTGTAAGTTCAGTCTACAAAATCCGCGTGTCCCATTTCCGGCTTACCCAGGTCTCCATTGAGATATTGGTCTTAGAAAGATCCCTGTCCCAACATTCTCTAGTACCCAAGTTCCGGCAATGTTGCTATAAGCCCCGGTCACAGCGGGGAGGCCATGCAAGAGCCGAGGGACCTGCAGGTCTCCACCCGGACCGCGCTCCGGTGCTCGGGCCATCCACAATGGCTATGGATTGCCCGGGTCGAAAACCATCGGATTCTTCGATCTCGGGAGGTAAACAGTTCGGTACCGAGTCCCCGAGGCAGGATAACTGTTTGCAAGCTACGTCACACGGACCGGTGCTCGTGACCGATCAAAAGTGATGCAGTAATTAAGTCAAGGCGACAGATGTAATAGCAGAAGTTCCGTCCCGATTTCCACAATTTCCTGTTTGACAACACTGCGCAAGTCTTCAAGATGACGAACATCAATAAACCGCGATTATTCGAAGCTACGATCCCGTTAAGCGCCGATGGTCAGTCAAAAATTCGTAAACTTCTGATTGCGAACCGTGGTGAGATTGCTTGTCGTATTATTTCAACGTGTCGAAAGCTTGGTGTTCAGACAGCGGCAGTGTACACTCATGAGTAGGTGTTCTACAACGCAACTAGGTGCATTCGTACTCGCCTGATAAGAAATGCAGAGATGCCTTGTCGCAACACGTTGCAGACGCACATGAGTCTGTCTGTATCGGATCCATCGAACACGACACCAAAAACCCCTTTCTCAACATCGACCTCCTCCTTAGGACCGCCCTAGAAGCCCACGCCGACGCCGTCCATCCCGGCTATGGATACCTGAGCGAGAATGCCGACTTTGCAGACCGTGTCCGCGCCGCAGGGCTGACCTTCGTAGGGCCAACCGGTCAGACAATCTCGACACTAGGCGATAAGCGAACCTCCAAAGAATACTTGAGAACTCACGCACCGGAAGTGCCCCTCATTCCAGGATTCTCCGGGTCCAGCCAGAATGTTGAAGATCTCCAAGATGCGGCGACACGCATCGGCTTCCCTGTCATGCTCAAGGCTTCTGCGGGAGGCGGTGGCAAGGGTATGCGAGTGGTCCGCAAAGCTTCTCAGCTCCAATCGGAACTGGACCGCGCCCAGTCGGAATCCCAGAGATCTTTTGGTTCTAGCGACTGCATTCTGGAGAAGTTCATCGAGAGCAGCAAGCACGTCGAGATTCAGATCGTTGGAGACCAGCATGGCAACGTCGTGTCTCTGTTTGAGCGCGACTGTTCCATTCAGCGTCGCAATCAGAAAGTCATCGAGGAAACGCCTTGTCTGTTTCTCGATGAACAGACTAAGAAGAGCATGAGCGACACGGCCGTCAAAATTGGGAAGCTTCTAGGATACGAAGGGGCAGGAACCGTGGAGTTCGTGGTCGACACTACAACGAAGAAGTTCTATTTCTTGGAAGTCAACACTCGCCTTCAAGTTGAACACCCCATCACAGAAGAAGTCGTCGGCGTGGATCTCGTATCCTTGCAGCTCTACGTCGCTGCTGGCGGACGTCTTGCCGATGTTCCTGAACTATCTGCCTTGACACAAACTGGGCATGCAATTGAATGTAGACTTTGCGCGGAGGACCCAAATCGGGACTTCATGCCAAGTCACGATACGGTTGCCTTTTGGAAGCCTGCAAACCCACATCGAGGACCCAGCTCAATAGTGCGCTATGAGACGGCGATGCAAAGCGGGGCATCAATATCAATCTACTTTGATTCCATGATTTGCAAAATCGTGGTGTGGGCACCTACGAGAGCCTTGGCCATCGACATACTCTCGAAGGAGCTAGCGAATACCGCGTGCGTTGGAATCAAGACGAACCAGCTTTTCCTGCAGAGTTGTCTTCTTCACCCAAGATTCAAGGACACAGCATACCAAACATCTTTCATCCCGACCCATCTTGACGAATTGCTTCGAAATCCATACCTTCCAGAGCTGCCCAGATACACCTCTGCTATCCCCGGTCTGCTTTTTGACGCACTTAAGAAAGCGTCTCGGAGCCAAGGTGTTCGCCGACAGCCGTTTGGCGGAGTTCGTCGTGGCTTTCACAACCAGAAGTTCGATCCCTTTCAGCAGGGCTGTGAGATCATTTCGACGCGAGACTCCAAAGCCTCGGAATCAGTGACCTCATGCGAGGCTTGCCTTCGCCGACCATGCGAAGGCCCTACAGGTGACAGGTGGCGGGTTCAGCTCCACACCATTTCTCTTGATGACGCCGTCGAGCAAGATCCGTCACTTTTGTCTCCGGCACAACATCTTACGTCAAAATACACTGCCTTGAGCCAGGCCTTACGGAGTGGTGATGCTTGGAAAGGGCCACCCTTCACGATTGAGGATATCACTCTTGGGCCAGTCCGCCAGACCGGCAGTTCTTCGTCGAGGGCAAGTATCCCATCATCATGGGTGTTGACGTTCTCTGTGGACGGGCGAAGACTACAAGTGTTTTGCTCTCTTCCTTACTTGGGACAGCGCTCAGCGGGGTTGACGCCAAATGAAACCCAATCAGTCCTATGCCACGTGCCTCAAGTAGGAGAGTGGAAGGAACTGCGACGTGATACTCTATTGTCGTTCTTCTCAGGCCTACGCAAAGATGCACAGGTTGCTACTGATCAACAGGCTCAGATCAAAGCCCCCATGCCATGCAAAGTCCTCTCTATTGGAAAGGCCATGGGAGAGGAGGTAAAAAGCGGAGAGAGTGTTATGGTGATAGAGAGTATGAAGATGGAGATCAATATCAGAGCAAATGCAGCTGGAAAGTTCGAGACAAAGTGGAAGGTTGGAGATGCTGTAGGCGAAGGCGTCGTACTTTATTCAGTTGAGTGAAGGCAGACTTCATGTGTCAACGCCATTTTGCTATCGAAGCATTTCTCGCAACATAGGCAAAACTCGTACGGTTTAAATTCAGAGTCAGCATTTAAACATATTTTGCCATCAAGATGACGACGTCCCGTAAAAACGCCTGTAGCTCAAGCTAGACGGACTCATTATCCCGTCATGTACCGAAACCTATCGTCAACAGCGTGCGCTTCATTGCGCCCCTCAGACAACCATGATCTATGAATTATTACCCTCGCATTGTTGGTCATGAAGACACGGCTCCGTTACGCACCGTACTGTTGGATGAGCATGACTAACAACATCACAGGTGCTGGTTACGTCAAGTCGGTCGGGAATAAAGTCGCAAAAGTCAAGCCTGGAGACGCAGTTCTTTTGTTCTTTGCTTTCTGTACCCAATGTCACAACTGCAAATTTGGCGCGCCAGGATACTGTGAGAGTTTCAATGAAATCAGAACTCGGGTACTGAAAAGATTTCGGTCGGCAGGTTTCTTTTTGGACAGTCTAGCTTCTCTCGGTTGGCTCGGGTGAAGCAAACATCGATAGTCAACGTTACTCGCCTCGTGAACAGCAAAGACGAACAAAAAATGCTGGCGCCTCTGGGCTGTGGCATACAAGTATGTTCAATTCCAAACTTGAGTGTTTATAAAGACTGACATGACGTTTAGACTGGTGCCGGAACTATAACAAAGCTAGCTGCGGCAACACAAGACGACACCGTCGCTGTAATTGGTCTTGGTGGAGTCGGCCTTGCAGCAGTGATGTTAAGGAAAAGCCTGAGCTTCAGTATTTTTCACTGTGAAATAATTCTGAAATTCCTCCCAGGCTGCGAAAATCACTGGCTGCCGACACGTCTTTGGAATTAACCACGTGCCTAGCCGGCTTGATCTCGCTCGGTCGCTTGGAGCAACCCACACCGTCAACACCGCAAACATCACCAACACGCTGACAGAAGAAATTAGGAAGCTCACTGGTGGGCCGGGGAGCACCATCACAGTAAATGCTACCGGGGTTGTGCCATTGATTAAACAAGGGCTCGAGTTCACCGCGAACCAAGGGAAGATGATTTTGCTAGGCGTTGCGCCAATGGATGCAAGCTTGGATCGGCCTATTGTTCCACACATGGTGGTAAGTCAAATGTGCTGTGCAGATGGTAGAGGCTTCGACCTGACTCGATACAGAGTGGCAAGCAGTTGCTGGGCAGCATGGAAGGAGGAGTATACCCTGAGGGTGTGAGTTTGTGTCTGTGAGACTCGGACAATTGGCTGAATCATCATTCAGTATATCCCTCAGCTTATCCAATGGTACCATGAGGGAAGGTTCCCATTGGAGAAGCTTATCAAGACCTACGATGTAAGTACTGGGCCCTGCACGCAGATTCTAATACTGATGTGACTTTCCCTGAAGGTGAAGGACTTTGAGTTAGCTGTGAAGGATATGGAGGATGCAACTACAATCAAACCAATTTTGATTTGGTCGTAATTGAGGGAAATATGAATGCTACTTCATTTTCTTACTATGATCTTCCGATGTATATCTACTTTCGCCCTTCTGATATGCCTATTATCGTTTTCGTCCCTATCGTTGTTGTCATCGTCGTCCTGGTCTTCCTCCCCAATGTCGTCTATGCCCACACCCATCCGGTTAGCTAGACGTATTCGCATGATTGTAAAAGTAGAAACTTTTTATTCGACGCTGTGATGTAGAAAGTACGAGGGCGTTGATGCAAACTTCCGACCGAGTGCATCAAACAACCCAAGCTGGCAGACACCATCGACATCCAGCAAAACTGAAGATCATTGAATACGACTTCAATCTGGAAATTTTGGATGACTTGATTCAATGTCTCGAAAGAGAAGTGAATGCATTGTATTGAAATGTCTTGCAACTAACTGACGACTTGCTTGTTCAAGAAAAGCGTCTGATTATTGCAGAAAGCTTTCAGACCGTTTGCGCCCCACTCAGTTCCAATACCACTTTCTTTGTGACCTCCGAATGGTGCGAGAGGTGACAGATCAAAGTGTGTGTTGATCCAGACATTTCCTGCTTGGATCTGCTTGGCTACTTCGGCTGCTTTCTTCAAATCATTCGTCCACACAGATGCTCCAAGACCCATCGAAGTGTCGTTGGCCCGAGAAATAACCTCATCTTCGCTGCTCCACGATAGAAGAGGGACTATAGGACCTGTTCAAATGCATCAGAGGAGAGTCCCAGGGAGAGTAATGAGTGGCTGCAGGGAGATCAAAGAACTTACCGAAGGGTTCCTCGACAACGAGACGAGACTTCTCAGGTGGCCGATCAATGATTGTGGGGGTGATGAAATAGCCTTGCGACTTCTCAATGTTGCCTCCCACGGCAACCTTCCACCCCTGAGATTCAATGTCCGAGAAGAATGTCTTGACTCGTTCGTACTGCATGGAGTTTTGCAGGGGACCATGAGTGATACCTGGCTGTGAGCCATCTCCGAGGTTGTACCCCTTTACGTGCTTAACCAAGGCTTCCTTGAATTGATCAAAAATGGACTCATGGACGTATATACGCTTGAGGTTTAGGCAGATCTTATGGAGGAGTCAGTGTGGATCACGAGGAGAGGGGAAGGGCTTAACACATACCTGGCCGGAATTGAGGAAAGCGAAGAAGGCAACCTGCCATCATTAGCTAGGAGATTGCACGGGTAAAGAAATCGCCTCACCTTCTCAGCGACCTTATCAACATCCACGTCTGGGAACACGATGGCGGGATCGTTTCCTCCCCTGTCAACGTCAGTCTTGACCTGGTTAAAAATCTTGTTGTTTGGAACATACAATTCCAGAGTGACCCTCTTCAAAGTTTTGCTTGCACTCTGCATCACTAGCTTTCCTGTCGTTGTGGATCCAGTGAAGCTGATCTTGTCAATACCCGTGTGGCTTGTCAACCAAGGACCGAGGTCATCATCTCCACTCAAGGACTGCACAACACCCGGCGGGAAGAATTGCTGTGCCAATTCAACCAACTTCAGCCCGCAGTATGGAGTGAATGGGCTACGTGTTCGTCAGCACCTACGACAAAGTATTTATCGGCGTAAGTGTACTTACGAGGGCTTGACGATGATGACATTTCCGGTCAGGAGGGCCGGCGCAATCTTGCCCGTGGCAAGAAGGAGGGGAAAGTTCCAAGGCACAATGGCCCCGACCACACCCAGAGGAGTCCACCGAGTGATGATGGTTCGATGATCATTGTCCTCTACAACATCCTCTGGCAGTGAGATGCCAGCCATGCCTCGAATCCAGCTAATGGCAGCATCTGTCTCAGCATCTGCTTGAGGAATCTAATTGGTGTCAGCCTGGCTCAGCAGTTGACTTCTTCGAAAGTGAGGTCATGCTGGTATCATACAGGCTTTCCTTGTTCAGAGATCAAGAGATCTCTAAACTGAGTGCGATAGCTGTCGACGGCATCTGCATAGGCCAGAACAGCCTTCTTCCGGTCTTCGTACGGAACTTTGGACCATGTCTTGAAGGCATCTTTTGCCGCAGCGACCGCAAGATCAAGATCCTCGCGTGTAGCCACAGGCACCTCTGCTTTCGCAGTCAGGTTTGCTGGATTGATGCCATTTCGAGACTTCTCCGTCTGAGAAGGTTTTCCGTTAATGATTTGGACAAAGTGGTCGCTGAAGCTCAGCGTCTTTGAGCGGTCACCATTCGTGGTAGCAGCCATGATGGATGATATTTGGCGTTGGTGTAGCACTGGCTTGGAAATGACAAGGTGTACCCCGCACTGATATTTGAGTTTTACTGGCAGGATACTGGTAAATATAAGGTAGGTAAAGGTATAAGTGCGTCTTTGAACGGAGATCCGTGAAACTTCGGGTACTCAGCGGGCAACCTAATTACCCCGCAGCTGAAGACGTTCTGGAGACCGGACCGACTGCCAAGGCGAGGAGCATCGCCTCTCCACGCCCCTCCACAGATCCTCGGCTATGGTGATCGTCCATAGGCTCGCCGTCTGAATGAATCCTTTTCAGTTCATGGCGCATATGCATGTCTCAGAACCGTTGAATCCGTTTACCGATGTATTCGCCCAACTTCGGTTCATGCGTACTCGGGCGTGGTGATTGGCTCAACAACCTGCATCCGCCATGGGGACTTGGGACGATGGCCATATTTCTCTTGAGTGCCTATGATGAATTGAGGTATGAAACTATGACTCGATCCTGGTGAACCATTCTTTCTTGCCTTCCTTCACCTTGACCGCAGCCCTCCGAACCAGCGGATCTCCCACCGCTAAACGCAACTTTTCGGCTGTGGCTGGTGAGTTCAGCACAAGTGGTTCCCTAACGTGGTTCATCTCTCGAGCTGCCTTGACAGCTTCTCTCAGCGCAAAGAAAACCGTGCATCCCAAGAACAGCGGCGGCTCTCCCGTTCCCTTACTGCTCTGGATAGAACGCAGTTTGCTCCAGCTAATTAGATTTCCTTCCGAATCGTGTTGCAATGTCGAGACATTGAACTGTTGAGGAATATCGGAGAATCCTGGAACATTGTCAGCGAGATGGCCAGATACGTAGAGAAAAGGAACAGAGTGTTGCTCACCTGGAATTTTGTACGTGCCGGGGCCTTTGGTAAAGAGCTCTCCCGACTTGGTCCACAAGGACTCCTCCATGGTGAACAGGCCTTGGCCTTGAACAAAAGCGCCCTCTATCTGACCATAGTCGATTGCTGGGTTAATGGAGCGACCAACGTCCTGTGCTAATTCAGCATATAATCATCGGTGATTGGAAAGCTGGGCCACTTACCATCATGATGTCCGTTCGAAGAACCGTCGAGTCTCCTGTCAAAGTGTCCAGTTCAACCTCACTGATCGCACTAAGACAATGCTAGTCAGCATACACCTAAGACCTCAGTGGACACTATTGAAACTTACACGCCCTGAGTCCAATAGTAGTACCTGCACCTTGGGCATCAGCAAAGATTACCTGTCACGATCAGAGGAGCGAAGACTTACATAGGCAAAGGATCTTTCCAATTACCCCATTCGTATCCGATTCGTGGCATCTTCCAAAAGCCGTTTGCAGCCAAATTGACTCTGTCCGTGTACGCAGCATGTGCAATCTTCGACATGGGTGCATCAGCCCCATATTTCTCTCGGTATGGTGCGAGACGTTCTCTGAGTTGATCGCAAGCGTTTTTCACAGCTTGACCGTTGAGGTCACTCCCGGAGGATGCGGCGGTCGGAGAAGCGTTCGCAACCTGATCAGTCTGGGAGTCTTTGTTAAAGACCTCATCGACACTGACGCCCAGCTCCTCGGCAGCAACTTGGGCCATTTTCGTGTAAAGGCCCTGGCCCATCTCGGTTCCACCATGATGCAAAAGCACCGAGCCATCTTCATAGATCTTGACGTATGCTCCCGCTTGATTCAGATGAACAGCCGTGGCAAAACTAAGATGAGTCAGTCAGTACTTGGGTCCATCAGTCAGAATTAGTGAAAACTCACCTGAGGCCAAACTTGGTTGGGATCTTCGAAATGCCCCGTTTCTTGAATCGGTGCTTAGAGTTGAACTCCCTAATTGCAGCCTTGCGTTTCTCGTAGTCAGAGTTGACGGTGAGTTGGTCCAACATGGTCGGTACGTGGAAGTCGTCGGTGATCTCTTGCAAGAATGGGGTTCGCTGGCCGATCTCGTAAAGGTTACGGCGGCGGAGATCGTCAACATCAATGTGAAGAGCCTCTGATATTTTGTACATCATGCTTTCGCAAATGTACATGCCCTGGGGACCTCCAAAGCCGCGGAAGGCTGTGTTGCTGACTGTGTTGGTCTTGCAAACCCAGCCTCGGATCCAAGCATGTGGGATGTAATAGCAATTGTCGATGTGGGTGCAAGCACGATCCCTAGTAGTGTTTAGTCAGTGGGCGATATGCATGAACAAAATCTACTCACATAACTGCGCCACTCATGTCAAGTGATGCTCCTCCGTTATTGTATACATCCATGTCGAGAACCTGAATCTTGCCGTGGGAGCTTACGCCTACTTTCCAACGTGATTGGAAAGGGTGTCGCTGGCCGGTGATGGCCATGTCTTCGTCGCGATTGAGCATCATACGCACCGGCCGATTTGCGCTTCGAGCTGCGAGGGCGATGTACATTGCAATTGGGGTGCTCCTGGACTCCTTTCCGCCATAAGCTCCACCCATGCGACGAACTCTCATATTTACACGACTCATTGGGAGCCCCAACACCTGAGCGACGAAGACTTGATTCTCCATGAGATTTTGAGTCGAACAGTATACCTCCATGGAGCCGTCCTCAATGTGCGGGATAGCAAGTGCTGCGTTGGTCTCGAGGTAGAAGTGTTCTTGGCCACCCATTTTGGTGGTACCTTCGATGATGTGGTCGCAGTTGCTCCAGGCCTCCGCGAGAGAGCCTTCGACAGCATCGCCCTTTCGTAGTTGCTTTCCATGCT